AGTGTTATGCATTTAAAATCGAAGATTTTTCTCCCGTGCTCCAAACTCCTCCGGCTAGGGTTTGGAGTCGATGGGCCTCTTTCTTCGGGACCCCTCTTCGGCAGCAGAGCCCCTCTACTTTCTCTTCCGTCTCTGCGTCGAGCCTTTGATCTGTGGTCTTCGGCCGTTTCTAATTGGGGCATCATAAATCTGGTGCCTCTCCTCAACCTTTGTTTCTGCAAATCGCGGGGTGAGTTTCCAGATCTCTGCAATTTTACTCTGTTTTCGCAACTTGGGCAGAGAGTGCTAGATCTCTGCAAAAAAGCTCTGTTTTCGTCATTGAACCACCATCCCAATCATGGCAACAGATGAATTGGGTTCTATGCTCAATCGGATTCGGATTGCAGAGAACGAAGATGGAATTCTCCCATTGCATATGGTTTGGAAACAGGAAGATGCTACAATGGACAAGTTACAATTGGTGGGGAAACTACTATCTTGGAGGAGGATCAACCTTAATGGCCTTCAAAATGCTTTAATGGCTTCCTGGAACCTTAAGAAAGCGTTTAAACTCTCAGAGATCGGAGAAAAAATTTATCTATTTTAGTTTTCTGACATTGGGGATCTCAACAAAGTCATTCACAAGAGTCCTTAGAATTTCAGCAACTCACTGCTTGTTCTTAAAAGGTTTCAGGCCTCCCTCACTCCAGAGCAATATGATTTCTCTACCAACCCATTCTGGGTCCGCATATTCGATGTCCCTGTGGGTTTACATTCTGAGGAGATTGGTTTCCTGATTGGTAGTTCCTTAGGACAAGTTTTGGAAGTGGATGAAGGTTTCAAGAAAGCTGTTAGAGTTAGATTAGAATTGAATGTCGCCAATCCATTGCGACATTTCAAGATCTCTCAAATTACTAATACAGAAAGCAGGAAACTCCAGATCAAATATGAAAGACTCCCAGAGTTTTGTTCTGTCTGTGGTTGCTTGGGACATGTGGAGAATGATTGTGACATTGCTCATCGCATTAAAGATGTAGGTGGCAAAATTATCAGGCGCTTTGGTCCTTGGTTAAAAGCTGAACTTGAGAATTCATGGTGCCCAGACGATTTTGACGCTCTGGATGAAGCCTTCTGCAAAAATACCCAATTTGCGACGGGATATAAAGGCATATCTGATACTGAGCATTCTGAGAATGGAGAAAACCAGTCACTTAATACTATGCCCCTCTGTGGAGGCCAAGTTGAGGGGGGTAACACTGTTTCTGTGCACGTCGAGGGGGGAAACAATGAGAATGGTACAAAAGAAGTGGTGGTTGGAATTGAAGCTCACCAAACTCGGGTAGGTTTGCCTTCAATTGCTGAGGTACAGTTGGTGGAAGTTCCATTGTCCCAACAATTTAAGGACATGATAACTCATAGAGGGAAAGGAAAAACTGCAAAAGCAAATAAGGGTAGTTGGAAAAGACTAGATCGTATAGTGACCTCTACGCTGCATGCAGAGAACAACACCTAAAACAAGCACAGAAGTTGTCTAACACCTATGGAGGAAAAGAGAGCCCTTAAAGTGCTTGTAGATAATGCTGGGGTGGCTTTAGCCCGGTTGGCTAAAGGTCATGACCCCCCCACCGGCTGATGCACGTATTCACATAGGGACGACATCTGGCAGGTTGGGGACTGTTGATGTCGGCACTCCCTGCTCTCCCCATGAAGCTAGCTAATAGGTGAGAACGTCTAGAAGTTTCTAATACTCATAGCGACCTTCTTTTCTATTCTAGTAGCCCTATTTATGCCCATACAACGATTGTTTTGTACATGCAATCCTTAAGTACAGATGGCCCTCTTTATTTAATTGTCCACATCCGTCATTGGTATAGTTTAAATCTGTTACTCATGCTGTAGGTTATGCTTCGGTTTTTAGCTAGGCTATAGTACCCTGCATTGAGATTAAGCAGTAATCTCCTTTCCATTTAATCTAAATCTCTATTTTCTATCAAAAAAACCAAAAACAGAAAAAGAAATATAGTGTTGGCAAGTAAATATGAAATCGATTTGAAGATATTTTGACCAAAAAAATGAAAGAAAGGTTCGTAGATGAAAGCACCTCAAAATTAAGCAAAAAATATAAATACAAATTGAGTATGAACTATTATTGGGATTGACTTGACTTTTTTTTGGTCCTTAAATGATTAACCAAATGCCTATACTTGACATTCAAGGTAGCATTTGGGGTATGAATGTTTAATATATTGTCTATTTTTAAATGATTAAATTTAATAAATAATTAATTAATTAATTAAAATGATATTATAAGTGATCTTGGGAATAATTTTTTTGGTAAATCTAATGATATTAAGTTGCCCCAAAAGTCATTTCTTTTCTCAAATCTCTGTTTACTTTATTAATAGTATTTTTTTTTTTAAGACAAACAAATATTCTTTCCCTCTATTTCCTATCAGTCTCAATTTATTTTAATTAATGATCCTTTTATAAAAATTATTTCTTTATTTTTTATTTCTTTTTAAAGATAATATAAATAAATATATAAATTTTCTCTAAATGTTTGACTTAAAAAAATGTTAAAAGATAACAGTTATATATTTTAGGATAGGAAAAATAAATTTAAATGATAATGACAAGGTTAGATCGAGAAAAAATAAATTCGTACACCTTACAAAATTTTAAAAATACAATAGTTAATTTGAAACAAACTTTCAATCAATAAACAATTACTAATTTTGGGACCTGGTGAATAATGACAGAGGGTTTTTAAATCGAAGATGTAATTAACCCTCTACTCCTGAACTTTCTTCTTCTAGCTCTGCTAATTCTCATGCTTTCTTCACGGACAAGGGATTGAAGTACACGGAGTTGACTCCCCCAGGGCAAAAAAAGTCCCTTTTTTTTTTTTCAAATATTTGGAATGAATATGTTAAATCTTAACTCAACACGTTGTCCATATAGTATTTCAGAGGCAGCTTTTCCATGAAAGTCATTCTTTTTTGTAGAAGATTTACATCTACTCCCTAATTATGGGAACCGTCAAAGTTCAAAGATATGTCTTGTCAACCAATAACTAACTTACGTAAGGTGGGTGGGGATGCTTAGATTGAACATTCTAAGTTTCATCAATCTTGCCCGAAATTACGGGGGAAATTAAGGAGAAGTCCAAGCTTTGAAAAAATTTTCAGCTGAATTCCAAACAAATTTAGTTCTCTTTCAATTCCGCATGAGAATGACTAATTGTTGGCCGAACAAGAAAAACATTTCAAATCAAAGAATATTAATTTGGAATTGTATATGAGTTGGGTACTTTTTGTACCCTAAATAAAATCACTTTTTTTGTGTTTCAAAAACAAATTAAAGAAATTTAACCATCAAATTTGGAATGTGGAGAGATAAGGTTGATTATTTCCATTTTTAAAAATTAGAGAATAAGGGCGAAAAAAACTCTATTTTATTTTCTTATTTAAGGATATGTTTAATTTGATCATATCCAAAGTTTCTAATCATGATAGAAGCAATACTGTTGAGCTATCTTGCACCTTTTCTCTTGGCAACTTCCCTCCTTTATTTCCTCCATCTTTTCTTAAACCACAATGGCATGCACTTTTTCTCTTGGCCACTCCTTGGGATGACCCCAACATTGCTTACCAGCTTCCACGATATGCATAACCAAATTACAGTATTCCTAGAAAGAGTAGGAGGCACATTTTTATATAGAGGAATTTGGTTTACAAACATGGATTTTCTTGTCACTAGTGACCCAGAAAATGTGCGTTATGTAATGAACACGAACAGTTCAACGTACATCAAAGGGTCTGAGTGGAGGAAGGGATTTGATATCTTCGGTGATTCTCTATATAATTCAGATTTCGAGGCATGGAAACACAATCGGAAGATATTTCATGCGTTCTTGAATCACCATGAATTCCATCAATCTATTGCGAAGATCATCCCGAATCAAATAGAGAAAGGACTAATTCCGTTCTTAAAGCATGTTGCAGAGGCAGAGCAGGTGGTGGACTTGCAAGATTTGTTCGTAAGGCATTCATTTGATCTTGCTAGCATAGTTGTTTGTGGCTATAACCCCAAGTCTCTCTCCATCGGGTTACCAAGTGTTCCTTTCCCCAAGGCCATGGATGATGCTTGGAAGGCAACGTTTTTTCGATTTGTCTTGCCAGAGAGCATGTGGAAGCTGCAAAGATGGCTGCAAATTGGGACAGAGAAGAAACTAAGAGATGCATGGAAAGCCCTTGACGATATTTTGGCAGACTATATATCGATGCAGCGTCAACAACTCAAAAGTGGAGAACATCATGATGTAGATGAGGGTTTCAATTTTCTAAAGTGTTATTTGACCGGACACCAGGTGACCGGACCAACACCAACAGATAAACTTATGAGGGATAATGCAATACATATGATGCTTGCCATTGAAGATACTAGCAGCACAGTTCTCACTTGGTTCTTTTGGAACCTTTCAAAAAATCCACACATTCTGAATAAAATTAGAGAGGAGCTAACAAGAAACTTGTTATTGAAAGAAAAAGGAGAATTACGTCTGCCACTGAACTTGAAAGAGATGAGTAAGTTGGTATATCTTCATGCAGCTTTATGTGAAACTCTGAGGCTCTTTCCACCGGTTCCTTTTGAGTTCAGAACATCAACAAAAAGAGACACTCTTCCAAGCGGGCATCGTGTTAATGAGAAGTTGAAAGTTATGATCTTCTCCTATGCAATGGGAAGGATGAGGTCAACATGGGGAGACGATTGTCATGAATTCAAGCCTGAGAGATGGATCACGGCAGAAGGAAGGATCAAACGGGAGCCTCCAAGCAAGTTTTTTGCTTTCATTTCAGGACCAAGAATTTGTCTTGGAAAGGACTTTGCTTTTACTCTAACAAAGGCTACAGCTGCATCTATAATTTTGAACTACAATGTGGAGGTAGTTCCAGGGCAGAATGTTACCCCTAAACAGAGTTTGATACTCCAAATGAAGTATGGCTTAATGGTAAGGATTAAGAGATGGAACTGAGCTCTTTCTTTGTTCCGTTCTTCTTTTAATTCTTATTAGATAGAAAGTTTTTAGTCATGCTTAATGTCAAATTAATTAAGATGAAATTAAAAATTGTGCGCATGATGATGGATCACCCCCAAAAATAAGCTACTCATGTGCATTTCTTCTTGTACTCATCATGGAGAATTAGAATTTAATAATCATAATGTGCATGCTTTATACTATATATATCTCTAGTGTTGTTGATTTCGAGTAGTATAACTTAAATTATTATACAAGACATCGAAGGTTGTTTTTCTATCTAATTATTTATATTTTATAATTTAGTACAATTTAAACTATAAAATAAAGAACTGATATCTATAGGAAATATAGTGTTAACAAGTAAAAATGAAATCGATTTGAAGATATTTTGACAAAAAAACAAAAGAAAGGTTCGTAGATGAAAGCATTTCAAAATTAAGCAAAAAATATTGATGCAGATTGAGTATGGACTATTATCATTGACTTGACTTTTTTTTGGTCCTTAAATGATTAACCAATGCCTATACTTGGCATTCAAGGTAGCCTTTGGGTATGAATGTTTAACATATTGTCTATTTTCAAATGATTAAATTTAATAAATAAATAATTAATTAATTAATTAAAATGATATTACAAGTGATCTTGGGAATAAATTTTTTGATAAATCCAATGATAATAAGTTCCCCAAAAGTCACTTCTTTTCTCAAATCTCTAGTTACTTTATTAAAATAATCTTTTTTATCTATTTAAAGGTTTAAAATTGAGACCTTTAATTGAACTCTTAAGCAATAAAAATGAAGAGAACCCTTTTTTTTTTTTTTTTCTTATTTTTTAGAATTAGGGATACCATTGAGGGAAGGGGAATAGAGGCACACGAGATTTGATCCATGGTCGGTTCGGTGGAAGCGAGTGTGGTCAATCAGCTATCCACCTGCTACATGATCTGGGATCAAAGTGAAACCTCTTTAGGGTGAACTCAAGAAGAAAAGTAAAAATGAGATTAGTACTGGTCCATCATTTTGCTGATCAAAAAAAAAAAAAAAAAGAAAAGGAAAAAAGATTAGTACTGGTCCATGAGAGTGCCATTGGCCTGGTGCTTGTGGAAAAATTAAAATTATATTTTAGAGGCTTAAAGTTATCTCTTTACTACAATTTGCATGCGGACGAGATATTGTATTAATGGGAATGGCTACATCTGAAAATGTGAAGACTGTGAAATATGTATCTTGAGATGGTTTTAACTTATATTAGGTTTGAAGATTAATTTCAGAAAAAGCATGGTGTATAGTTTTAATGTATCATATGAATGGTTGAATATTAAGTCACGTGACAAGATCTAATATTTATAGTAGATCTGCATATGAAAAGCCATGTTCATAAACTAGATCAACTTCCTCTCAAGCTGGACAAAATTCTTCTACCACTGCAGTTTTCTTAACACCAGGCAGTCAAAGTGTTAGAAATGAGTAACTATTTCACTTTTGTTTTTTTTAATTAAGTCAGTTCAGGCCAATGGTTGTTAGAACTCTGATAGGACATTTTTTATATTTTTTGTGACTTTGAATGAGATGCTTTAATTTATCTCTTTTGGCTTCTAAGATACAATCTTTTGACAACTTTTCTAATTTTGTACTAAGGGCTTGTTTGGTGCAGTTTGTTAGAACTTTTGCTTTTAAAATACTGTTTATGAGTGATAAGTTTAAACTTTTATTGTAGAAAAAATTTTAAAGTTACTTTTAAAAATTTGAAAAAATGAGTAAAAAAGAAATTTGTGAAAAACTTGAATTTGAAATTTTTTATCTTTTACTGTTTAAGGATCTTTTTAAAGTTAAAAAAATGTTTAAAAAAGTAAGTTTTTAGAAGGGAAATTTAAACTTATAAAACAAAAATAGTGTCAAGAAGCTGAAGCACTTGGGAAGCTCCACCAAACACATCCTAAACTATATTGCTATTTCCCATGAATAAAAAAATTCATGATTTTCTTTCAATTTCAATTTGGTTTCTTTACAAAAGCCATTTCCTTCTTTTTCATGCAAATTAAACACAAGTTTTCTTATTTTACCCAGATGATCTCAAGCAAAGAAATAGAATACTCATATGGTTTAGACCATCACCAATCTTTACTGCTTTTTTAATCTAATGTGTAAAGTTTTTTTTGCCATCCTGGATTTGAGTTGTTTAACATGTCATCCAAGTGTAGGATTCATTAACCATCTCTGTTTGTCAAGTCACCATTTACCATCCAATGACTCCTTGGATAATAAAAATGTAAAAATTAACTACTTGATTAGGAAAATTAACAATTGGACTCCTTGTATGGTAAAACAAGAAAAGTTTGGCTACTTATTAACTACTCTTGCCCCCTTAACCTATGCGAAGGTTAGAAAAATCCTAAAAAAAATTACCATATATTAGAGGGATTAAGATACAATCACAATAAAAAAAGCTACTCTAATATTAATATAACTACCTATGTTTCAAAATAATTGTTATTTTTTTATTTTAAATTTTTTCCATATTAATAGTATTTTTTTTTTCTTTTTTTTATGTGTAAGGAAACTTGGTTAGTATGGGTTAAGGTGATTCATTGGTGGGGTTTGGAGGTGGTGATGCCACCTACACTGAGGGGTATGATAGAGTTTTTCTTATGGAGTTTGGGTTGGCTGGTGGGCAAGGAGATGAGTGCATGCATTTTTTTGGTTGTCTCTTGGTATTTATGGTATTGGAGGAATGTTCTGGTGCTTTAGAACAATGGGGATTTTAGAGAACAATTGTTGGAGTTGATTAAGTCTTATTTCTGGATTAAAATAAAGTGGCTGGGTGTGTTTTTTCATTAGCTCAATGTCAGGGTAATCCAGTGGAATGTGCAGGGGAGCTGAAGTGATATAAGAGATCTTTAAAATTGTTTCATCAGCAACAGCAGCGGCTTGTTTCAAGGATTTAAAATAATTTCCTATGTAGTAGCAGTGCTTTCTTACCTGGGTATAATTGGTGTTTGATTGTTTATTGTCTTTTGGGTTTTTAAATTCTTTGAGTTGTAGTTTTCTTTTTTTAAGTTAATTGCTGGTGGTGTAAGAGTATTACTTTATTTGTATATGGGTAGGGGTATATCTTGTGCTTCATTTGATAAAATATTTTTATTTTGATGAAAAAAAATAATATTTTTTTAATTTTTTAAGGCAAATGAATATTTTTTTCCTTTATATTCTATTAATATCAATTTATTTTAACTAATCACCTTTTTATAAAACATGTTTTTTATTTTATTTAAGGTAACATAAGTAAATATATGAATTTTCTCTAAATTTTTAATTTAAAAAATGTTAAAAGAAAACAATTATATATTTTGGGATACAGAAAGTAAATTTAAATGATAATGACGAGGTTAAATCAAAAACAGATTTTTTTATTTTGTGGCCTTAGAATACAATAAATATATATTTTTCATAATTAATTTTTATTAAAAATATAAATGTTGACTTTCATTTAATCAATTAACCAATTAAAATCATACATGTGTCAGTAATGTTAAAATATATATTAATTTTCATAATTTTTAATGTGAATTAATTATAAAAAATATATATTTATTACATCTTTAATTTATGTTTTTAAAATATAAAATAGACAAACCTATCGAAAAAAATAAGTTCAAATACCTTACAAAATTTTGAAAATATAATAATTAATTTGAAACAAACATTCAATTAATAAACAATTACTAATTTTGGGACCTGGTGAATAATAACAGAGGGTTTTTAAATAGAAGATGTAATTAACCTTCTGCTCCGGAACTTTTTTCTTCTAGCTCTGCTAATTCCCATGCTTTCTTCACGGGGATGGGATTGAATTACGCAGAGTTTATTTCCCCAAGGCAAAAAAAGTCTTTTTTTTTTCAAATATTTGGAATGAATATATCGAATCTTACCTCAACACGTTGTCCATATAGTATTACAGAGACAGTTTTTCCATGAAAGTAATCCTTTTTGAAGAAGCTTTACATATCTACTCCCTAATCATGGGAACTGTCAAAGTTCAAAGAGATGTCTTGTCGACCAATAACTGACTTACGTAAGGTGGGTAGGGATGCTTAGGATGAACATTCTAAGTTTCATCAATCTTGCCCGAAATAACGGAGAGAAATTAAGGAGAAGTCCAAGCTTTGAAAACAATTTCAGCTGAATTCCAAACAAAGTTAGTTCTCTTTCAATTCTGCATAATAATGTGTCTCCTTGGGCCATTAATAAACACTTTAAGGATGGTGATGTTTAGTTTGAGAATGACTAATTGTTGGCCAAACAAGAAAAACATTTCAACATCAAAGAAAATTTGGAATTATATATGAGTTGGGTACTCTTTAGACTCTTAATAAAATCTTTTTTTTTTTTGTGTTCCAAAAACAAATTAACGAAATTTAACCATCAAATTTGGAATGTGGAGCGATAAGATTGATCATTTCCTTTTTTAAAAATTAGAGAATAAGGGGAAAAAAACCTCTATTTTATTTTCTAATTTAAGAGTATGTTTAATTTGAGAGAAACAAAAAAGAGAGTTTTTTATTTTTTTTTTTCCTTTCCTCCACTCATTTGAATAAGTGAAGGAATTAAAAGAAAAAATAAAATAAAATAAAAAACTTTCTTTCCTTCAATGTTTTTGACAATAAAAAAAGAAAAGAAGAATTTTTTGTTTTCTCTCCTCTCAAACCAAACGATATTTTCCCTACCTATCCTAATTTGTTAAGAAAATTTCATTTTTTTAATGTTGTTTGAATAGTTTAACTAATAAGCAGACATTTTTTCTAACCAAACATAAACTAAGAAATTCAAAACTTTTTTAAAAAAAAAAATCTTTTTTATGTAAGCCTAAGGCGTCAGTTATACAGTTATTACTAATAAGCTTTACTTTCTCAAGTATACTCATACATTTTTAAAAAAATTAAAACAAGTCAAAAATTTTCTTTCATAAAAATAAAAAATTTTAAATTTAAATTATATGACATAGGCAAGTGAAGTAAAATAAAAATAACATATGTAAATAGAGTATGTAAAATAAAAAATATAAAAAGATTATATTTTATTATACAACCCAAAATAAAAATAAATAAATAAACTTAACATTTGCATCTTAAAAACTTCATATTCGTATGTATAGTTAAAGGAAAATGCTTTGTGCACCCTCCAGTTTAACACTAGGGGGTGCACACCCTTAATAACCAAACAATTTTAACAATAAAATTACAAATTTAACTTTAAAAGTCATTTTCCTCTCAATGCCCCTTTTTCTTCTTGTCTCTCCATCTTCCTTTGCCAAACTCTTCTCCTTCCTCAAAACCAGATCTGCTTCACCCTTTTATTATTTTTTTTTTTTTGGGGCTGCTTGGCGATGATGATAATGATGGTGGTGATGGTGACGATGGTGATGGAAAACAGAGGATGGTTCTACCCCTCTCCTTCTATTTTGATGGTGATTGAGGATGATGATGGAGGTGGAAGTTGTAATGATGATGAGATGCAAGGAGATGATCTATGGGTTCTCCTGAGAGAGAGAAAGAAAAAAAAAAAAAAAAAAAGGGATCTAGGTTTTGGGTTCTCCAGGAGAACTCAGATCGAGTTCTCCGAGAAGAACCCATATCGGGTTCTCCGATGGGTTCTCCAAAGAACCCAGACGAAAAAAATAAATAAATAAATAAATTTGTAATTTTACTTTTAAAATTGTTTGATTAAGTGAAGTGTGCACACCCAGATGTTGAATCAGGATGTACACAAATCATGGTCCATGATTAAAATATTATTCCCAACCATGCTATGGTCTAGTGGTCAAGGGTTGTGGTGTGTTGCGTGTGTATCTAAATCCTGAAGTCAAGCCTAGTCATTGACCGTCATCCGCCTGCCCCGTGATCCGTGTTTTTTATGTCGGCCGCCCCCGTGGTCCATGTTAGAAACAACATATTTGGAATGATTGAAATATTGAATCCCTTATACATCCTCGTTAAAATGCATTTCGTTTTGCTAATAACAAAATATTTGAATCCTTCAACATCATTTCGATTTTTTTTTTAAAGAAAATGGAATTGTAAAGGGATACGTAAAAAGTTCTTCTATCATCCTTCTAGAATAAATAACAGGACCTATCTAGTAATATGCATCTCAAAAAAAAAGGAAATAGTTGTAACACATTTTATTTTAACATATTTTTTAATACTTATTTTAATTTAATTATTAAAATATAATAAAAATATAATTAATTCAATTAATTTTTATACCTCATGTGAATAATTATAATTTTAAATTTAAATTAAAAAATAATAATTTTTTTATAAATATATTAATTAATATATTAAATTAAAAAATATATCAATTAATGTATAAAAGGAAAAAATAAAAAACCTTATAGGTAAAATTGGCCACATCATCTCACTACTTAAAAATCATGACGTACCTTGAAAGATGCCTTTTCTTGACCCCAGTTACCCCATTCCCATACTTGGATTAAGTTAAATGAGGAGAAAGGAACCAAAAGAAAATGATATATTTTTGACCAATTAATTAAATGAAAGTTTTTCTCTCCTTCTCCTCACTTAATTTGAAGAAAATCGTTGTCTTTCCTTTCCATTCTCTTCATTTTTTTCACTTCAAATATATGGGGTTAGAGTTTGTTTTAGAAAGTGGTCCTTCACTAAACAGTCTAAACAATAAGCCCCTTTATTTAGACATTAAAATGGATGTTCTCTAATTTAACATATTTCATAATTTATTAAAGCATATTATTTTTTAATCTAAAATTAAAGAAAAAAAATTTAAAAATACAAATATACAACAATATAAAAAAAATTAATTAAATTGATTGCATTTATATTATATTTTAATAATTAAACTCACTAAATATTAGCATATATGCCGAATCAAAGGGTTTTCGGGTCATTATTTTCCCAGTTCCTTTCTTTGTACACTCAAGCCAAGTAATTCTTAGCTTTCTAACCAAAGAAAGTCGGCCTGGCACTAAAATAATAAACAAAAAATAATAAACAAATAATAAAGAAATACCATATCATGGATAAATTTTAAATAAAAAATACTGATTATATATAGTAACATATTAAAATTATAAGCTTACCGTAATTACTATTTTATGTTCAAATAAAGAATGAAAAATACATCTTTGACTTTTCAATTCAGAAGTTTGTTATGTTTAATCTATTAAAAAATAATTTTTTAACAATATTTATTAATAATAAAATCTTAAAATATGTTGTGGCACAAATTTTTTGGCTCTTTTAAATTGGTGTATAGTTGCAATTGGCTCCTAACACAGTATGCATTCACTTTTTTCATATCATGTAAACATTATAAAATTTATAATTAATTTTCGTTTTTAAAATATCACAACCGTAACCTAATGGTATGCATATTCTCTTATACAAAGAATAAAAACTAATAATAATAATAATAAATAAACAATTTTAGTTTATCAATTTGTTCCTAAATTTGAAGATTTTAGTTTGCAAGCATGATCCATGCATTCTCCACTGATTTAGGCAGTAATTGGGTGACAAAAAATTTGTAAATAAGAAGGAAGAAAATTATCAATGAATTGAAGCATTCGATGATGGCCCATTAGCCTTCAAATGTTGAATTTTCATCCCTACCTACAGTCCCAAACAGCCAAAGGAATTCCCAATGAAAACCGCTATAAATGGCCCATGCATTCTTCTGTCCATGAACTATCAGAGTACATTCCTCCAAATTACTTAGTAATATCTCCTCCTCTTTCCCGTTAAAAAAGCAGTCATGGTTTCCGATTTGACCATCAAGATATTGTCAATCCTTGCTCTTGCACTTGCCTTATGTGTCCAGGCAGACCAAGCTACTACAGGTAACTCTCTTAAGCTGCAACAGGTTGAGTCTATTCCATTCTGTTTAAAAAATGCCTGTTTTAAACCCAACGACATAGTTCGGACCGTGCAAATTGTTAGCGAAAATATGTTTTCCTAGTTAAAACTGCACAGAAAAAAAAGTGTAGTATGCATTATAAAAATATTAAAATAAACTTAACATAGATTTTTTTTAAAATTTTTAATTTTATAACTCAGACTATATTTAACTACAAATTGATAATTATTAAATATAAAATACAATTTAAATATTAAGAGTCATTTTGTATCCGATTGTTAGTTGTGTAGTTTGAAACCGCACAAAACATTTCTTTAAAAAAAAAAAAAACTGCAATTTTTTTTAAACCTAAATTATTTAATTAGTTAATGTAAATAATTTGGAGGTGCAGGAGTGACATGCGAAGATCTTGACCAAGACGTCTGCGCCTTTGCGGTATCATCCTCCGGTAAGCGCTGCGTGCTGGAGAAGCACGTCAAGAGGACCGGACAAGAAGCTTACACTTGCCGGACGTCGGAGATCGAGGCTGACAAGATCAAGAACTGGATCGAAACCGACGAATGCATCAAAGCCTGTGGTCTCGACCGAGAATCCTTCGGAATCTCGTCAGACTCTCTCCTCGAGTCTCACTTCACCGAAAAGCTATGCTCCCCTCAGTGCTACGACAGCTGCCCCAACGTCGTCGACCTTTACTTCAACCTTGCAGCCGGTGAAGGTAAAATAAACAAACACCCATTATCACCAAAGAGTAATTAGCTTTATTAAACTGTGACTAAAAATACTATATGACCATGTCAAATATATAAATGATTTCATGACTTTACAGTTGAATTAATATTTAACTTACAATGAGACATTCTTTATTTTCTTATAACTAAATATTGGTCTGATTGGCAGGAGTTTTCCTTCCAAAACTATGCGAAGCGCAAGGTGGAAATGTACGAAGAGGAATGGCTGAGATTCGCAGCTCGGGTTTGGTTGCACCGGGACCAATATCACCAGCAAAGTTGATGGCTGCTCCAGCAATGGCTCCTTACTAGCTAATTGGTTGGGATGAAGTTTTAAGTGTTTAGAACTTTAGATGATAATAAAGAAGTTGCAGCAAAAGGGTATCATGTTCAGGCAACATTTGCTGCTTGATTTTTTTATTTTTTTTTTCCTAGTTTGTCGGTGGACATACTCTTCATGACGTACGACGTTTGTGTCGTGAAGTGAATCGTACCCTGTTTGCTCATTGTAATAGTACTACTGGGTATCAATATAATCAAATTATAAAATTAATACAGGCACTTTTTTCCGTAGAAAATATAATTATATTAATAATTAAAAAGCAGTTACAATATAAACTATATCTTATTATATATCTGTGTAAAAAACATAAAAAGACTAGAAAAGGCATATGATACTAAAAAATAGAGTTCGATGTTCCTTACAAATAAGATAATTAAGAATTAAAAACCTCTAAATACTAATATACATTATAAGAGTATCAATAGAATTATATGATAACATAAAAAAAATTACTCTAAAGCATACTATCGCTGTTAGAAATCATATTTATTTCACCATCTAATCCTAACATAAGATATTAAAGGACTAAGTGATGCAGTATTTCTCATCACCACAACGCTCTGTCCAAACTCAAATAGTCTTTTAACCAACAAATGGATTAAAGGTATCCACTTGCATGGCAAGTGGAGTGCCCGAACTATCTAGTCTTACTTTGGATACCCTACCATCACCAAGCACTTCAGGGATGAACTTCCTCTTTCCTTTTCCCCCCATTCATCATTTTACTTGGTGATTGAATTAGATTCCTTCCAAACCTTTTCCATTTCTTTTTCAAAACATGACCCTCTTTCTTTGCCAACTTTGCAATTTGTTTGATAGGCAAATCTCCTAGCAGAGAATCCAAGGCTTGCTACTCTAAGGAAGCCCTAGCCAAAGCTGCTTCCTCCTTATCTCCTCTACCATTCAGCTCCTTATCATGATCTTTAGCCAATGATTGATTCACATTAAAAAGTTGTCCTTTAGTTGCTCCATTGTCCTTGGCCTCTTTCACACCAATAACCAACTTTATTGCTTCTAGAGAACAATTTTTGTGACCATGACTAGCAGAATTATCTCTCACCAAAGATGTTAGCAACTTGCTATCTAAGAGAACTAAATCTTTAAACTCCTCAGGCCACTAGTAGTTCTCAAACTCTACTCTAAGCTAAGAGCCATAACACTTAGTGATCTTCTTCCTTGCCTCCTTGAGTTTAAAATTGATTTCACAATCGATGTCCACATATCCCATACATCTACATACATAGCAAAAGTCTAGTAGTCTCTCATATTTAATCTTCAGCTTCCTAACTCTAAGACATTGATAATCTTGAACCTTCTCAAAGGGCTATTTATTGTTAAACAAATTCAAACACACAGAGCCCTTATGAATGATTCATCCACCTCTAACACTCATCTTATTGAATTACCAATCCTTTGTCTAGCCTTCTCTCTGTGTAAGCCACAAGGAAAACTAAAGAACTAAACCTAGAAAGGGCATTCCAAAAAATCATAGCTATCACAGGCGAAATTTTTATCAAAATGCTATATGATAATCAAAGTTCGATCAAAATTCCATGGCGATTTTTGAAGAATTTTATCCAAATCATAGCTGCTAGCAAATTGAAACAAGAAAATTTTTTCACCAATTTCCTTAACTTGTACAACACGACTTGTCTTCCACGACATTGCTATGGCATTTTGTAGACTAGTTAAATTGATCCTCTTACTAGTATGTATCTTCCCAACCAAACAAATAGATTCAAATGAGTACATCAAGTTATTCCACTCACCTTTCGAAGAGAGCTCCAAGGTTTCCTCCACTGAAAGTCGAATTTGTCCACAAAGTGATCCTATATCTTCAGTTAGCTCTAATGCAGATATCATTGGTTTTCGAAGGCTTTTCCCCCCACTCATGCTTGCCATGACTATTGGGGCTGAAAAGGATTTGCCACAAGCTATTAAGATTGGGTGCAGGTCTCACAGGTATAGAAGAGTCACTATTGGTGACAAGGCTAAGCACAAATCACAATGGTTAAGGTTAGAAGAAGCAAGGAAGAAAAAGAGAAAAAGTGGCTCTTATCATGAGGAGAGGAAACCCTAGGGAGACAACCTGACCTAACCCTAGTTAGGTGGTAATGACGATTATTTAAAATTAACACAAATATTTAAAAGTATATATTCCACTAGTCTTTGTTTTCTTTGGCATTGTACTTATTCTTTTGGGTATTGGATATCATTTCCCTTTTGGTTAGGACATTGATTGTTGCACAATTTAGTTCCTTATCCTTCACTATGCACCCATTAAAAAATTAATATTCAACAGTTTGGAATTAGATGTGCAAACACTCAAACTTGCTATCATTCATACTGCATTCATTTATTCTTGGTTCCAAACATACCCCAAATCTTGTTCTGCTTAACTTTTCCATTTTCTTCCACTTTGATTCTGAAAATAGGATCAAATACAAGGATTCTAAAACCATTCAGATCTGATACTATGGGGCTCTAAATCAAAAAGTGACTGTTCATTTTGAAGATCCATGCCTTAGGAATCTCTAGTTCAAATTTTAACTCAATCCAATGGCGTATTAGCGTGGATTGTATATTTTCCTAAAACAATGCTCAGGGAAAAACATAGCAACTTGCCTACATTTCAAACTCTAGTTTTGATACCGTAGGGCTCTAAATCAAAGTGACCATTCAATGTGAAGATTCATGTTTTAGGAACTCCCAATCCAAATTTTAGTTTGATCCAACAATGGATAAGCGGCGATCGTACATTTTCCTAAAACAATGCACAAGGAAAAACAAAGTAACTTTCCATTTATCTCCCTTTCTTTTCCTCCTATCCTACACCTTTTTTGGCTAGAAAAGTCGAAGAACAAAAATTAAGATACATATTTAGTTAGGAGAAGTCACATTTTCATGTGGGTATATTTGCTAGGAGGATGAAAGATGGCGAGGAAGAAAATTTAGGATTGAGGAGGAAGAAGGTTTGAAACAATAACCTGATGAAGAATAGAAATTAAGACATGAGCGATCAACAATATTGTGAGGCCACTAAAAACAAAGAAAGGTGTTCGTGAAGGTGAGGTACAAAAAGCTGGCGATGGAATTGAGGGGATGCCAAAAGGGAGAAGCGTCAAAGAAGGAGATGAAGGGTCTAGGTCATTGGGTTGTGTAGAATAAGTAAGGGATAAAAAAATCACACCCTGCTACTTTATTTTAATAGATGAACTGTAGGTGTATGGCGAAGTGTGTTGGTATGGAGGGTCCATGTATCATCTCCTTCTTGGTTAACACCGTGGGTATTGGATTTGCATTCGTGTCACTATTTCCCACCCCCCTGACAAATGGTTAATGGTCTGACTCTAACATCACTAGATGGCCCAAGGCTGTAGGAATTTAAGGATGGAGCTGAGCCCAAACTAAACCCATTCTGCACAAAGAGAAACTGGAGATCCAAGACCTATATATCTGTAATAATTCAAACATTCTCTGGGCCCTATTTAGAGGATTATTAGGGCCTAATCACCGCCAATTGAAGTGGAACACTAAAATGTCTTCTTTTTTATTTTTATCATCGGACATCCCAATTGGCCAAAATTTTTATAGGAGAGAGAGGAGGAATAAGAATTTGAATTCTAACTATATGAGTGAGAAAGTTCTTTTTTCACTAATAGTTTAGCTAATTTCTTGGAGGCCTTCCTCAACAATGTAACGTCTTTATTAAAGGATTAGGCAATATATTATGCCAAAACTATGACGAAAATTAGAGAGGTAAAATTAAGGTTAAAATAGTCGAGATGATTAAAAATAATTGTGAGATTATTAATAAATAAAGGTGTGACAATAACTGATGTTGTACTGAATTGGTTTTTTCTGCTTTCTCCTTTTTGGGCGCCTTTTATACATTGTAACTTTGTTATTAACCCGTAGTGATTGGTCTTGGAATCCACTAATACTAGGTGGTCTCTTATTTGTCATTGTCTGTTCTATTTACAGGTGTTTATCGCCTATCGTTAGTTAATACGTGTTGCTTGAATTGAGCCACTATCTGAGGATTATAATTTCTCATAATCTCCACTTTCTAGCTATTAATGAAATCCCATGATTATATATAATAAAATAAATACTAGTACGAGAGAGATATAACAAAATAAAATAAACATAAAAGTGGGGAAGAGAAAAATAAATAAAGAGAGAAGATATAGAAAAAAAAAGAGATAAGAGGTGAATAGATCCTCATGGTAGGTAGATTGAGTGATTAGAATTGTATGTAAAAATTAAATGTAATAAAAGTATGTAAATGAATTTTTATATAAAAACAGAGTAAGAATTTATTTATATATAAATTTTA